GTGTACTTAAAGGTCTGCCAAGCCGTAGTCAGGTTGGGGATATCACAGACCTTGTCAATATCCGAGTGAAGCACATCATTAGTAAATGCCTGAGTGCTGAAGTGTCTCATAGAGTGCTTCTCAACCAATTTCGGGGGGGCTTTGGGTCTGGCTGATGATCTCACCCCAAAAATGAAGCAGTGATCACTGATAATGATTGCTTGTGTTGCAGTCGAAACATCGTGATAATTTTGTTTTATATTTTTATTATTTTATTGTTTCCCTTCTACGTGACTTTACTGAAAGAACCAATAATATGAATCCCTGCAGTCACGAAAGCTTTAAATCAAAATTCCTCTGATGTTAACATGTATAACACCAACACCATGTGTGCGTGTGAGTCCATGTGTGTGTCTGTACGTACATGTGTGAGTGTCTGTACGTACATGTGTGAGTCCATATGTGCGTGTAAGTCTATGTGTGTGTGTGAGTCGATGTGTGTGTGTGTATATCTCCATGTGTGTGTGTAACTCCATGTGTGTGTGTCTAAAGTCGATGTCTGTGTGAGTCCATATGTGTGCGTGTAAGTCGATGTGTTTCTATGTGTGTGCGTCGATGTCTGTGTGTAAGTCGATGTGTGTGTCTGTCTTTTTCGCCCGGGCAACGCCGGGTACTTACCGCTAGCACTCTATAAACGCGCGACATTGTTTCTAAATGTGGAGGGGGAAAAACCGGAGGACCCGGAGAAAAATCCACGCGACCACGGGGAGAGCGAGAGAGAGAGAGACACGCAAACTCCAAATATACAACAGCCGTCAGGGTCGGGATCGAACCCACGACCTCCTGTGTACCAGGCAAGGGAGTTAACATCTCCTAGCCACTCGCGGAGCTCAATGGCTCCATGGTTCTAGCCCTTCACCAACAGCTGACTGATCGGTGTGGCGAACGAAGTATCGTGCCAACCCGCACATCCAGCAATGGATTGGCAAGGCCCTCATCCAGCAGTGGATTGACAAGGCCCTCATCCAGCAGTGGATTGACAAGGCCCTCATCCAGCAGTGGATTGACAAGGCCCTCATCCAGCAGTGGGTCGACAACAAAGGGGGGCTGCGCATTTACACAAATAGTTTGAAAATGTAGCGTAACCGAGTCCGTTTTTGTAAAGTCAAAGCTTCCTCACGCATGCCGCCCTCTTTAGCCATAATCGCGTCTTGTCAAAGTTTAGTCGGATATAACGTTCCCTGAACATTTTACACGTACGGATATGCCAACCAGAGCCACACGTTGTGCCGTTTGCATCAGGAAAGGGTCGTGTCGTTTTTAAGTGAGTCACCAAAATTAACGCAAGTGTGCCGCGTGCATTTACAACACTTGCATGCGGTGAGCACCTCATGTCACGGTTAAATGGGCTATAACCGCGGTAAAGGTGCAGCCCTACAATTGCTTGCTCACGACCACCGCTGGCCGGCTGAAGAGCCTGCCTCTATGAGAGGAGCAGAGCTCTGGAGAGAGCGCGTTCAGATGCCCTCCTGCGGGGCCGTCTGGAAAGCTCTTTCCTTCCGATATTAGGAAGCCATTGGGAGCTATGCACCATTTTTTTAAAGTAACGTTTTTTTTTCTTCCACATCCTCGCTCGCAATCCAACATCGCAACATCCTGATATTCTGATCGGCATCGCCATTTGCGTCGACGGTATCGGGCACACCAGACTCATCAGAGCAGGTGGGAAGGGAGGGAAGGATTTTATTTGGAGGGGGGTGGCCAGGTAATTGCCATTCTGGACCCAGGTATTGAAGACTTTTTTAGGGTTTAGGAATGGACCCCACGTATGTGTTTATTTTTCTACCTCGGGAGCTATGCACTTTTAAATGTGGATTAAAAACACTTGTTGGTTTAGATCCGCTTTTTGTATTAAGTTTGTTGTCTTACCCCTGCTGCACCTCCACGGTTGGCTATGTACGGGGTGAAATAAGTTCAACATACATACTATAGTTTTTTTTGGGTTAGATCGCGTAAATATAAATGTGTCGTTAAACCCGCCACCATCCGACACAGCCAATTAGTAAGGTTTGTCACGAAAACAGAACATGCCAATTCGTTACTAGTACAGCAACACCGTCGTTTTAAACCTTAGTAATTGTCCTATGTTATGGATGATACTGGTCGCGAAAGCCTACGTGTTAAACATACATACATACTTCCACATCGACCGCAGTGTCCGTGTGTACTTGCCACCGTCGTTGTAAACAGTCCCTTATGACGGAAAAGGCAAAGCGTATGGTGGATGAAGTGAACATTTAACTTATATTATTGGTTCTTCGGTAAAGTCGTAATAAAATTCTCGCAACAGCTCTGTTTGTTCACCTGAGGACGGCTGCTTGCGTTGTGGCCGAAACGTCGTGAGAATTTTATTGTTTTATTTTTATTATTTTATTATTTCCCTTCTACGTGCCTTTACCGAAATAACCAAGAATATGAATCCCTGCAGTCACGAAAGCTTTAAATCGAAACATTTGACTTATTTCGCACCGTACGTAGCCAGCCGTGCTCATCGGAGGTGCGGGGGAAGGACAACCCAACACAAAAAGCAGTTCTCAAAAAACGAGTTTTAAATTAAGATGTAAAAGTGCATTACATCAGTGGCTTCTCTGATGGACATTGACGTCGCTGGAGGTGGATCCAGTTTGAAACGGAGGGGGGGGGGGGCGGGCGGGCTGAGCCATGGACTGATTTTTTTCTTCTTCTAACAACTACAGGTCACACGTGAAAGATCGTGCCACAGTTTTCCACGCGGGGACCGTTTTCACGTGTCTCTTCTTCGCGTGTCGGCGTTTCTCCGTCGGCTTGCGGGCACCGCAACTGAAGTGCACCTTCCACCAATCTGCCCTCGACTCCTTCCACCCTTAGCCTACCCCCCCCCCCAGCCCTGTTCCAAGTCCAGGCTCGAGCAAAAAGACTTTCCGTCCTTCATGCGGACTGTCCGCCTCCCCCATCCAGCCCTCTGTCTCTCTGCAGAGTAAACACGCCCAACTTTGTCCGTGCAGCGTCTCGAGATAGCGGTCGCATCCAAATGATACTTGCACAAAGCCATGGTGTATCGTGTGCTGCTGTTGTTGCGCTTGTTATCTGCCCTCCGTATTGAAGACAGGGTCATTTGCCAAATGAAGCCTCTTTGGCATTGCGGTGTATACATTATACAAGGCAGATTAGGATGTGTAAATGTGTTTTTCCCTCCCTCTGACAGTGTACGTGGCTGAAACCCCTTGCCCCGGTTAAGTGCGGGCTTGAGAATGTGTCTACTTTGCCTATGACCGCCTCTGTCCTTTTTCTTAAGGCGTCTCCAAACACGCTTCTGCCGTGAAGCCATCTCGTTTGTATCTATCCATCTCAACTGTACCCCTCTGCCGTCTAGCATTCCACGCCCCTCAAAACGGAGGGCCCCCCCCCCCCTCTTCTTCAGACTATTTAGATGCGCGCGTTTTCCTTCATTTGGACAGCGGTTATCTCATCGGATTGCGCGGCGAAAACACGTGATTGTGCCTGGATAGTGCTCGCGCACAGCCCTGCGGAGCTGCGTTGTCAACAGAGGGCGGCGGTGCAGCAAGAGCCAGCTGCTGGGTCCGTTCTTCGCTTCGATGTCTACCGCCCGCTGCTGTTCTGGATGCTCCGTATCGATAGATTGGAAACTCACTCTAGACGCGGTGGTTCGTGCTTCCCGATTGTGTCAAGGAGCATGAACCGTCGTCTCGCGAACCCCGGTCATCCGCGGCTCCTAGCCGACCTCTTCTTTGGTTCTTTCGGTAAAGTCACGTAGAATGAGAATAAAATAATAAATTGATAAAATAAAATAACGCAATAATATTCTCACGACGTTTCGGCCACAACACAAGCGGCCTTCATCAGGTGAAGGGACGAGACTATTTTATTCTCATTCTACGTGACTTTACCGAAAGAACCAAAGAAGATGAATCATTGCAGTCACGAAAGCTTTAAATCGAAATTCTAGCTTAACCGTCGAAGAAAGACGGTGGTCGACGCATCGCGCGCGCTTCCAGGTGCGCTTCTGCGGCCGTCTGGAATGCTCTTGCGACATTAGGAAGCCACCGGAGCTGGGCGCTTTTAAATCATCGAGATTGAAAACTCATTTCTTCCGAACTGCTTTTTTTGTCTTTAGTTTGCTGTCCTTCCCCTGCACCTCCGATTAGCAGGGTTGGCTACGAAAGAAATTCAACGTACAGACATATGTCAAGCAGTGGATTGACAGAGGGGCTCTCTGCATTAACACATGCACGTGTGCTCCGACAGCTGCGAGAGCAGTTCTTGACAATTGAGCAATCCACCTGTTAATGCCATTTGAGGGGGAGCGGCGGTGCAGTGGTTAGCGCACTGCACTGTGAACCCAGCGACCCTGCCAGTCTCGGCCAACATCAGTGGCGATTCGTAGCAAACTTGGTCCTGGTCCCCACACTTGACCAACCCCCACGAACCAGCATGGTGAAGTATGGTCAAACAATCCCCCCACCCCACCTCCCCGTGACCCACGCGGCTTGCGGAGGCCTTCATCCAACAGTGGATCAACAAAACAACTGAAAGTGATTTCAAATTTTACACCCATATAAAGAAAGACAAAAATCCCCCGTATAGCCTTAACAGACTGTTGGGGCATGTGCTGTTAGCGAGCACCTTTGAAGGTCGGAACGGCACACGAGGAGGTGGGTGACCAACATCACACCCGACCGCCTTTGTCTCCCTATTTGGCGAAGTTTACACCGCACCAGGTACTCATTTGAGGCTGAGTCGACCTAGGGGAGACCCAGGACCGGTTCTGATAATCGTCACCGGTGTGGGCCGTGAACGGGAATCGAACTCGGGTCGCCGGGTTTGTAGCGCAGCGCGCTAACCGCTACACCACGGCTCCCCACTATATCTACACACACGCATACATACATACACACACACGCGCGCGCGCATCTCACGATGCGTTTTAATTGCCGTGATCGCGCTGCGCCTGTGTTTGGCAGACGTGGCGCTGGCGCAGTGCTACGACTCGTGCGACCTGGAGAAGTACTGCTGCAGCTCCGACGACATGGCCTACTGCTGCTCGTACCTCTCCTACGTGGGCAACGTGCTGACGTGAGTGCATGCCTGCGGCGCCGGTCCCCCCTCCTTGTCCCCTCCTCCATTCATTCTTCTGGCCCCGTTCTGAAGGGGTCCACTCAGAGTTGGCATCCATCTGCAGGAGCAGGTCTCCGCCGAATGCGTTTAGCCCCACCGCCACTTTCAACATAACTCCCCCTCCACCCCCTGCAGCATTGCCCAAGCTAATCCCCCGCAAGGCACGGATGCCTACGTACGGTGCGAAAGAAGTTCAACGTGCGGAGAGCAGAGCGTGGCGGTGCGCGATGCAGCGTAGAGGGCCGGATCTAAAATGTAAAATCTCATTTTTGTCGTATTACGAGTTTGTGAATAAACTCCTCCAGCCAGTCGAACTTCGTTTTTCAGATCCCCGTCTTTTGTATGACCGAGCAGCCAGATCATCATTTGCTAGAAAGGGGTGGGGGGGGGGGGGTGGGGGGCAAAAACACAATGCGGGGCGTGACAAATCCCCCGGGCATTTCAGAATCGCAATCGGAAACATATGACGCTGGAGGAAATCCGACGAGCGACAAAGCTCTTTTTCGCAGACGTCCAGCAGTGCGGCGCGCCCGTCGCGTCATTGCGGTTGCGTGCGCGGTGCAGGGGTGCGGCGATCGCCGGCATCGTGCTGGGCCTCGTCTTCCTGCTGGGGATCATCGCGGCCGTGGCCGTGTGCATCTGCTCCTGCCTCAAGTCGAGCCAGCGCAGGGTGGGCATGGCGTCGCCGGCGCGCTCCAACGCCCTCAGCACCGTCACTGTGCCGGCCGGCGAGGGTTATAGTAAGTACGGTGGGTGCGGGTCGGTTGGTCGATCGGTCGGTCGGTCGGTCGGTGTTTAATTCGCGTGCCGATATCGGACCGAAATATTAAGTGGGCATCGGGTGCACGTCGCGGCAGGACTGGAAACGGTACAGGGGGCCACGGAGCAACAGGAATGAGTTAAGCCCGTCACGACCTCGGCGGCTAACATCGACCGAGCAAGATTAAGTGCAACCGTGCGCGGCGAATATTTAGCACGCACAAAAAAAAAGTCTCCGAAGTAAATGAAACAAATAATAAATAGGGATAGCGGTTTTTTTTTCTTCTAATTTTGAATTTGATGGGAAGGCAAGTCGCAACGGATGGGTCTTGCGCAGACCGCGTGGAATTTAGCGACGCTTCGGCAATTTGTAGCCAGGCCATCTGGGCTGCGGATAAAGCGTGCTTGTTAAAGAGTTAGTGGAATGTTTTGAAGGCACACGCTCGCTTTAATCATCAGCCGCTCCGTCGACGGCCAGTTGAAGACGAAATATACGAATTTCTGTTGGGTTGCTTCTGCAAGGTGACTCTCGTTTATCCACGGGCGGATTATCCTCATTGGCGATTAACAGTGCTCATTCGCACCTTTCACGATCCGGCGCATGCGTGCGCTGGTTTAATTATTAAATGTTCCATTGCAGCTACGCCTAACCACAATAAACTAACAAACTGGCCCAGTCGCTCACCCTGCCCATACCCACAGCCACACCATCCAACCAATCTGTAGCCCGAATATTTACCTCCCCAACCAACCAAACGCCTACCCCAAGTAGGGTCCAGCACTACTCCCAACATAAACAAATTACTCAACCGTCCAATAACAAAGGAAAAAAAAATACTCGGCTCATTCGGCAATAACACTGCCTTAAAAAGAAAAGGCGTATGATAGGCAGCGTGTTGGTAAATGGGCCTTCTTCACAGCGCATAGAGAGAGGCCAGAGAGCCCCAACCACAATAGCCAAGTAAACACTACCCCTACCCCAGGGGTCGGCAACCTATGGCTCGCGAGCCAGATGTGGCTCTTTTGATGACTGCATCTGGCTCGCAAATAAATCTTAGCTGACATTTCTTTAGTTGTATTCAGCGTTAAAAAATATTTAATGGCTCTCACAGAAATTTATTTTAAAATGTGTGGCTTTCATGGCTATCTCAGCCAAAAAGGTTCCCGACCCCTGCCCTGCCACTAACCACGTTAGTCAAGCAAACTGCACCATTACTCCAAACCCCAAACTAATGAAGAAACCCCTGTCCCGTCGTCTTGGCCTTACAACCCATGGCCATAAGCCCTCCCACTCCCGCTGGAGCCTCACCGGAGATCCCCTTTGCACTGTTGGCGTTTGCTCGCCTCTTTGTGCGGTGCAGTGCGTGGGGCTGCGGAGCTGGTGTCCTGTTGCAAAGCGGTTCTCCGTGCGCGTGCCCTGGGAGTTCCCCACCCCCATCCGTCTCCGTGGGGGAGCGGTAGCGTAGCGGTGAGCGCGCGACGACTACGGACCCGCTGACCCGGGCTCGATTCCCGCTCGCGGCCAACGCCAGGGGACGATTATCTGAATCGGTCCTGGGCCCTCCCCTAGGGTCGATTCGGCCTCTATGAGTACCTGGTGCGGTGTGTAAAAAACATCGCCGCTGGGGGGAGACAAAGGCGGCCGGGCGTGGTTGCTGGCCACCCACCCCCCTCGCGTGCCGTGCCGGTGCCTCGTAGGCGCTGCTCGCTAACGGCACTCGCCCCAGCAGCCTGTGACAGGCGTCGCGGGGCGGACCTTTGGCAGTACCCCTCCCATCCCTGACTTGCCCCTTCCTTACCCATGACCCTGTGTCCGGCCTGTGCAGGCTTCCCCCCGCCACCGCCGTACAGTCCGTACAGTCCGGCAGTGGGAGCCGACCTGCCGCCCCCCTACGCGGCCCAAAGCACGGGCCCCGGGCCTGGCTACCCTCCTCCACCGTACCCGGGAAAGTAGCGGACGTGGGACGAAAGAGAAGCGAAACTGGTCTCCTCTCTACCACGCTCAAGACCAAAGTGACGTTTTTTTTTAAAACTCTCTTTTTGTACTCTCCCTACCCCCCCCCACCCCCCACACTTGTTAAATGTAAATCAGAATCGTCATCTTCACTGTTTATACAAACAAATAAAAAAATTAGGGATTGGGAAGATTTGCATCCACTACTAGAAGGAGCGTAATGGCTGATGGACAAGACCGCTGATGAGATGGCTCAAAGGAGAGAATGCGCCCGGGAGGACGACGGCCGCGGAGATGGAGCGGTGAGATGGGGTCACGCGTGCGTGCAGGAATGAGGTGGGGAGTGCGGCGGGGGTGCAGGCGGTGCAACTGCACCGGGGTCGACAAGCCGGAGTGCGAAGGTGCTGGGTTACGAAGAGAGGGGGTACGTTGGAGAAGGGGGTACGCTGGAGAGGGGGGGGGGGGCCCGTGTCATTCCTTTCGCCAGGGCCAAGGCCAACCCTGCTACACAACACTGGCAACGCGGGACGTTATGCGATGGTAATGGCATAAAGGGTGACCTTTATCCAGACAGTGGCTCATGATGATGATGAAATGCAGAACCAAGTTGTATGCCCAATGCAGATTTGGAACACGGTCTATGTGCTTAAGATTTTCTAAATGATTTTAAAAGTGGATGGTGGCTGGTACGTGATGGCTCGAGACGACTCGGCAAGAGAACTGGTGGCTGACACGTGATGACTCGAGACGACTCAGCAAGAGAACTGGTGGCTGACACGTGATTACTCGAGGCGACTCAGCAAGAGAACTGGTGGCTGACACGTGATGGCTGGAGACGACTCAGCAAGAGAACTGGTAGCTGACACGTGATGGTTCGAGACGACTCAGCAAGAGAACTGGTGGCTGTCACGTGATCACTTGAGACGACTCAGCAAGAGAACTGGTGGCTGACACGTGATGGCTCGAGATGACTCAGCAAGAGAACTGGTGGCTGTCACGTGATGACTCGAGACGACTCGGCAAGAGAACTGGTGGCTGTCACGTGATGGTTCGAGATGACTCAGCAAGAGAACTGGTGGCTGACACGTGATGGTTCGAGACGACTCAGCAAGAGAATTGGTGGCTGTCACGTGATGGTTCGAGATGACTCAGCAAGAGAACTGGTGGCTGACACGTGATGGTTCGAGACGACTCGGCAAGAGAACTGGTGGCTGACACGTGATGGTTCGAGATGACTCAGCAAGAGAACTGGTGGCTGTCACGTGATGACTCGAGACGACTCAGCAAGAAAACTGGTGGCTGACACGTGATGGCTGGAGACGACTCAGCAAGAGAACTGGTGGCTGACACGTGATGGTTCGAGATGACTCAGCAAGAGAACTGGTGGCTGACACGTGATGGTTCGAGACGACTCGGCAAGAGAACTGGTGGCTGACACGTGATGGTTCGAGGCGACTCAGCAAGAGAACTGGTGGCTGTCACGTGATGGTTCGAGATGACTCAGCAAGAGAACTGGTGGCTGACACGTGATGGTTCGAGATGACTCAGCAAGAGAACTGGTGGCTGACACGTGATGGTTCGAGACGACTCAGCAAGAGAACTGGTGGCTGACACGTGATGGTTCGAGATGACTCAGCAAGAGAACTGGTGGCTGACACGTGATGGTTCGAGCTGACTCAGCAAGAGAACTGGTGGCTGACACGTGATGGTTCGAGATGACTCAGCAAGAGAACTGGTGGCTGACACGTGATGGTTCGAGACGACTCAGCAAGAGAACTGGTGGCTGACACGTGATGGCTCGAGATGACTCAGCAAGAGAACTGGTGGCTGACACGTGATGACTCGAGACGACTCGGCAAGAGAACTGGTGGCTGACACGTGATGGTTCGAGACGACTCGGCAAGAGAACTGTTTGCGGTCATTGTTGACTGAGATTGGCAAGCGCCCCTCCGCCCGTCTACGCGCCCGCTCCTAACAAAACAACTACCATGGCACCAACGTGTTGGAATGTTTAGACTTAAACACTGAAAGGTTCGCTGGCCATCTTGTGTGTATTTATGTTGAACTTCTTTCACACCGTACGTAGCCAACCGCGCTAGCCGGAGGTGCGGGGGCAAAACAACAAATTAAGCACAAAGTTTAACACGTACGCTTTCGGAACTGATATTATAAAGGTTGTTTTTTCCCACGTGAGATCGCGTCAATAAAAATGTGTCGTTAACACACCACCACTCGACACTGCCAATAAGTAAAGAACCAAAGAGCAAGTAAGCTTTGTCACGTAAACAAGACGTGCCCAGCTAGTTACTACTTTAGCACACCAGTTTGTTGTACCTAATTGACACGTTTTGTTTACTTGACATCCCTCACTAATTGGCTGAGTTGGATGGTGGTGGGTTAACGGCACAGTTATATTTACTCTAACCAAAAACAACCCCTTTATTATGAATAAATACGAAAAGCAGTTAAAAAAAATGAGTTTTAAATCTAAACTGATCCTCCCTGTACCAATTCCATGGTGACCTTTTGGTTTGAGGCACAAGCTACCCGCTTATGCACCACGTGGTGATGACTGGTGTAGAGATGTTAACTCCCTCGCCCGGTATACAGGAGTCCATGGGTTCGATCCCGACCCTGACGCCTGCTGCTGTATATTTGGAGTTTGCGATTCTTTCTCCACATGGTCGCGTGGATTTTGCTCGGGGTTTTCCGGTGTTTCCCCTCCACATTGAGAATCAACATCGCGCGTTTAGAACGTTTGGCTGCGATGTATTTGCACGTGACGATGAGCCGCTTCGCTGAAGCTATCGTCGGTGATGTCCAAGTCGCTTCTGACAAAGAGCTACTTGGCTCAGTGGGACTTACACCTGGTCAACAAATAAAATGGTTTAAATAGTGTTACAGTTTTGCGGCTGGCTTTGGTCATTTAATCGCTGAGAGTGGACTTTAGGCGTGGAGACGCATTGATAACAGCGCTGGCTGGCCGCAGTAAGCCTACCCCTTATTGTTGTTTTGCCCTGTTGTGTGGGGGGCAGGCAGGCGCGGGTTTGGGGGCAGTCTTTGTCAAATGGAACGAGGGGATGAGTCGACGGCTGTTTTCCGAGACGTCGTGACTCCCCATGTGGACGTGCCAACGTTACCGAGGTTCCAAAATCGCGAGCGAAATGAAACTGTTGGTGGTGCAGAGGGCAGTGTTTGTTGATAATGTACTGTCAAATCAAAAACATGAACCCAGCCTATGTAAAGTGAAACGTTTGATTTTTTTCCGATACTGTGTTGACACGCGGTGCACTGTAGCACAACGAATAAACAACAACAACAACACAAACCTCAACGCATTCATCGATGGCACTGCGTTGAAAGGAAAGTATATAGTGGACGACGTTTCGGGCAACGGTCCTTCGACGGCACATAAAGGCCGTAGAGGTAGACCCGCCTATGAGTGTGCGTAACGTCACAGACGATGAACGGAGTGGCAGAGAGAAAATGAGCAACTTTGAAGGGGGGGGGGGGGGGGGGTCACTGAATGTGCCTTTGAATAAGCGAGTTGTTTTTTCACGTGACTCATCATGCGCGCAACCGTGTGATGTGCTCCCCATCCGGCGACGGGGGAAACTCCGGCCAACCTTAGCAATGGAAACGTAAATATTTATTCGTCTTAAGGTTATTCGTACATCACAATTGTGAGCTGGTCACGACTCCGTGTAGATCCGGACGCGCGTGTGCAGAGTGTTGTACTTGGGTTGCTACGACACGAACAGAAACGCTCGGCAGGCTTGAGGATCTCGAGAAACACACGCGGCAAGCCTTGTGATTTAAGCGCGTGTCGCACAAACCCACGCGTGTGTGTGTGTAGCGGGGAGCGGTGGTGTAGCGGTTAGTGCGCTGCGCTTCGAACCTGGCGACCCGGGGTTCGATTCACGCTCATGGCCAACACCGGTGACGATTGTCTTAACCGGTCCTGGGCCTCCCCTAGGTCGACTCGGCCTCAAATGAGTATCTGGTGCGGTGTGTTGTAAACGTCGCCACTGGGGAGACAAAGGCGGCCGCCCGTGGTGCTGGCCACCAACCACCTCGTGTGCCGTGCCGGCACTCACAGGTGCTACTCGCTAACAGCACTTGCCCCAACAGTCTGTTCAGGCTATACGGGGGATCTTTGTCTTTGTGTGTGGGCGCGAAGCGGCTCCGAAAAACACGTTTATGGCCGTGCAGCACACTAGCCAACTTGGAATGCAAAAAATATGTGGGTAGATATTCCAAGTTTCAAAATGTTGTTTTAAACAATGTGTAACACACAGTGCCATATGTGTTACACATTTGTAACACATATGGCACTAAAGGCCATCACCCCCAACTCCTCCTCCCCATTCCATTTTAGGGGCACAAGTTTGTGGAACGTGGGAGGTATTTAGGTGGGGGGTGGTGGACTCAGAAAGAGAAACATTACGGGGCAATAAGCGCATGCACTGCGTGTGTAACGGGGCCACCGTTGACATGAACACCCTCTGCCAACCTATGAAAGAGCTACACATGCGCGGCTGCGTGCAAGAAAATGTACATTTCCGCTCCACACTCGCGAATGCGAGCGACAGGGACCAGTTCCCAGCTCCCTGCTGGCCCTCGTGGCTCGCCGTGCGGGGGCCGTGTTTGAGTCCTCGATGCAAGTCCCCGTGGTCCGCTGGTGGCCCCTGGTGGCCTTGCTGAATACACGTCCCCATCATCACAGCTGTCCACCCATTATCGGTGCCCTTAGCTTATTATAGGCCAATTCAGACCTGATTGGTCATCCCGTGCCCCTTCTAAATCCCAACGTTCATCTTGCAAAGTCCCATCACAAGGAAGAAACACAGATAAATAGACCAAAAAAATGTTTTGTCCGCATTGAAACGGCTGTTCGCCGAATGGACCTGAAAACTCAATTTCCTTATACAAGAATACGGGTTAAACCGAATGGGTTGACACGGTATGCATCATCATCATCGTGCTGCTGTCACCCCCCCCCCCTCCCCGTGGTTTCAAATGCGTGGCGGCCTCAACGCTGATGTCTTATCGGCGAAAGTTGCCCGCTGCCCTCCCCCCTCTGAAAATCAGTGAAGAACAGTAACGTAAATACCGCAAATGCCGTAGCTCTTTAATAATATGTGTGGCCCGGTGCACATGCGGCGTTGGTTACCCTTGCCCCAGTGTCGTGAAACCACGAGTTCCAACTGAAATCAAGCCAAGTGTGTCATGGTACCGGCACTCTGTGGGACGTCACCGGAGCGGTTTGCACACGCTCGTTTACGCACCCTGTGACCTAAGTTCGATTCCCGGCGCACACAACTAACATCACCGGCATTTACCGTGTGTGAACGCATCCTGGGCCTCGCCAAGGTCAACTCGGCCTCAAATGAGTACCCGGTTGCAGTGTGCAAACAGTACTGGGGAGACAAAGGCGGATGGGGTACGGTACTGGTCACTCCACCCCCTCAATGTGCCATGCCGGATTTGTAGTACACCACAGGATGGAAAGCTCCTGCTAAGATGTTGGGTAAGTTGTCGGATTCGTCACAACATTTACAATCTGAATTACTCGCGAAACGTCGTACTCAGATTGTAAATGTTGTGGCTTGGCTCTCCAACACACCGGTGTAATGTACTAGTAACGAATTGGCACGTTCTGTTTACGTGGCAAACCTTACTAATTGGCTGTGTCGGGTGGTGGCGGGTTTAACGACACATTTACGCAATCTCATCCAAAAAACCTGCATTATGGGAAATAATATTCCCGCAGTTGTGGGTCGAGAAGTCCATGGCAGGTGGAGTAGATTGTGCGCTTTGCTGTGATCAAGGGTGCTCCACTCAGGCTTTGCATTGCTGGACACGTGACAGTTTGCACGTCAGCACTGCACTGGTCATGAGTCCTTTGGGGGGGGGGCGGGGTGGGGGAACCATGCATTGTAAAAGGTCCCTGCAAAACATGTAGGTTGTTGATGAATACCACATTGCGTTTCGGTGTGTATGCTTCCAGCATAGACCCTTATTCATTGGCCAAAAACATCTTAATATGTGAAGGATGGCAGAGCTTGGGTGAGGGGGGGGCATGGCTGCAAATGCTGCCCTTCTGTGGTTCCTTGCATCTCCGAGTGGTTGTCTAACCGAGAGAGAGAGCGCGCGACGCATTGCAAGTTGAATCGTTCATTCGGATGGGTGATGCGCCTACGTGGTTGCTCATCTCGGTCCGTCAACCCGTGGCCACCTGGGTCTGTCCCGTGACCTCCTGCCAGCGAGCCTTCGACACTTCACGTGGCCTCCGAGTGCACCTGGCCTGGCACGAGCGCCGTGGTGGCGAATGGCGGTCCTCGTCGCTCGTTGCTAAGTAAAACATTTGCCATTTGCGTTTTCAAACTTAGCTGATTCATTTGGGGGCTTGGGGTGTAACCCATTATCAATTATCTTCAACCAAACGCTGTTATTTCCACGAAGACCAACCTAAGCCCATGTACAGCTTGCGATGTGATTTACTTTATGAAGACTATACTGTAATAGTAAAAAAAACACGCTTGGCACGTGACGTTCCCTTATCAATATTAAAATATCTATACCTACCCACAGTTGAATTAATATTTTTAGTGTCTCAATGCCCACTCAAAATATATTACTTGGACACACTGGTCATATACTCGGCCCTCTGAAAAGCACAGTGATATCTCATAGGAGTCTTGGCAGATTTTTCGTAAAAAAATTTAATATTGCACTCCACTGATGTTTGTAGAAAATGCGTGACTGTAGCTGCAACCGCGACCAGCTTTCACGTGAGCGGCGCTGTGGCTTTTTCAAATTGAGATATGCGGCACGGAGTGGTCCTTTCCGATGCCCCGTGAATATTAAGCTTTTGCGAGACATTTTTCGCTCCGACACGAGAGAGCTCTGGCGTCATCGGACTGCTTGTTGCTCGTTGATAGAGGGAGCGGCGACCTGAGTCTTGTTTGTTGGCAGTCAGGTTTGCTGCGGTAGTGAGATAATTGTGAAAAAAGCTCACGCGTGGGTCAATAGACCGGGTTTGTTTGTGGGGAAGCCGGCATCATACGTGCGGCGAAATTTCCCCACCCTTGCAAAACATTATTTTACGAGTGCGTAATGAACCTTTTGTAAATTGTGTACAGTATTATGAGACCTCCTTTGCCAGAAACAAGATATAGGAATAGGTTTTACCCATTTAACTGGCACAAAAACTGACACCTTTATTCAAGGCATCATGTTTGCAATAACCACAACACAAGCAGTCAAAATGAAAACAAAAAAGACAACTCTGATAATAATATGCACTGTCCTTGAATTTGATTGGTCCACACCCGAGACAGCTTTTCTTAGAGCCTAGTCTCCATTGGTGTTGGACCAGAAGACGCCAAAAGGCGTACAACTCAAAACTGTGCCAGTTAAAAGGGTAAAACCTATTCCTATGTGTACAGTATGTTTGTGTTTGCCATGGTTTGCTTTGGCTGTTGTACATATTCTATGTTTTATTGTCCCATAAGAATGTGTGCATCATATTAATAATATGCCTACCAAACTCTTGCTTGACGGTTTTAGCAAATGCCATGTGGTGTTTGCATTTTGAGTACAAAACAAACTTGAGCAAAAAATATGGACTACGTGTTGGAATGCTGCCTCAAAAAAATTCCTCTTTGAGTTGTGGGTATGTCACGGGTCCTGAAAAATGTCCAACTGGTGAAGTGTGTGTGTGCGTTTGATCACGTGTAACATGTGGGGAGCCAGTGGTGCAGCGGTTAATTCGCTGCGCTATGAACCCGGCGACCCAAGTTCGATTCCCACTCACGGCCACCAACACCCGTCACGATTATCTGAACCGGTCATGGGCCGCGCATAGGTTGACTCAGCCTTAAATGAGTACCTGGTGCAGTGTCTAAACATTGGCACTGGGGAAACAAAGGCGGTCGGGCGTAGTGCTGGCCACCCACCTCTTCGTGTATAGTGCCAGCTTTCGTAGGTGCTCACGAGCAGAACTTACCCGTAACGTCTATTAAGGCTATAAGGGTGACCTTTGTCTGTGTGGTCACATGTCACTGCTTTCACAGCAACACCGTTGATCAGCACCACCCAGGACCTTGTAATAACCAGCACAGAGTTGGACTCACAACATTGAAGTGTGGCGTTCAGCATTACAATGCTATCTCTTGGTGGTGTTCTGCATTACCAATAACGGCGTTGCATCATAATATAACCAAAACATAGAACACGCCACAGCCAAGTCTTATTGTATGGACAATTTGTGGCAATGACCTCAAATGTGGTAAATAACATTGCAGGTTTTTTTTTTCCAGTTGGTTTAGTTTCACTTCCCCTTGTGATTCTACAGCCTTTTGCTCGTTGTGTATTTTGGTGAAGAGTTTCCAGCAGGGCTGATCCTTATCTTTTGGATAGCTTTGACGGCAGGACATTGACAAACACATACCTCAGCCACTTACTCACTGCAGGAGGCCCGGAGTGCAAAACAATTAAGAATAGAAATGAAGAACGTACGCATGTTGAACTTCTTTCGCACCGTACGTAGCCAACCGTTGCTAATGGGAGTGTGCCGGGGGAAGGACAACAAACTGAACACCAAAAGGAGTTTTAAAGAAATTAGTTTTCCATCTTGATAATTTTAAAGTGCATAGCTCCAAGTGGCGTTCTAACATGAGAAGGAAGAGCGTTCCAGACGGCTCAAAATCCACTGGGAGGATGACTGGAGTTCACGTGAAGAATGTTGTTGCCAGGTTGAAAAGGTTCCCCTCGAGTATGAGTGTGGCTAGGATGTTTGCAGTGATGGATACATATTTGGGGCCCTTTCAAAGTGGTAGGCTTCATGTGACCGCAGACCCTTTGAAATGAAGTTGCGGGTTGCATACAGTCCTGGATCATCAGGTTTTCCATTCCCGGAATTAGTGGGAGTAGAGTTCGCTGTGGAAAGAGTTAGAAAACTTCTAAAGTACTAAAACCAGTCAAATGTCATTACTGATGTCTGGGATTCAGTAAGGCAGCATTCCTTGATCACATTAAAATGTTGCCATTAAAAATATATATGTATTCGTGTTAAGAGTGTGTTGTGTGTGTGTGTTAGTAGCGCACTGCGCTACGAACCTGGCAACCTGGGTTCGATTCCTGCTCACGGCCAACACCAGTGACGATTGTCTTAACCGGTCCTACTCCGCCTTAAATGAATACCTGGTGCAATGTGTAAACACCGTGGTTGCTGGCCACCCACCCCCTCGTGTACCATGCCGGCCTTCAAAGGTGCTCGCTAACAGCACTTGCCCCATTAGTCTGTTAAGGCTATACGGGGGATCTTTGTCTTTTCGTTTTGTTATGCAATGACCTGCAACACATGACACCAAAATGAAGTATTTTTTCTTCGGGAATTCTTTTAAAAAAAACTATTTCAAGTGCCATATTTTCGTGCATGCGCCCGTAATTACGGACTTCATGGCCAAAATTGTAACCAGTCGCATTCATAAAGTGACGAGCCGAGACATATTTCCCTTCGCGTGAGAATCCACCAAACGCTGCATAGGCTCTGATGATACACAATATTTAAAGTGAAATATAAAGTATTATTGGATTGGCTGTGCTGTTGAAGACCTAACTACTACAAGCCAATCGATCCCATATCAAATAATACCGTAAATGACCATGTACACCAAAATGTGTTTTTATTCAAAAGTGCTTTATTGCTTAAATGATCATTGAGGCTCTTTTTTATAGTCCTGATCAAGTGGCGGAAATGCCACATTCTTATGGTTGACATGCCGGAGACTCTCCACAAATCCACCTCTGCCAAATTCCCCACAAAATTGGTAGATAATTTCTATCGACAGGGATTTTGAACTCGCAACCTTCCGATGGCGAGCGGCTCGCTTTACCGCTGAGCCACCCGGGCCGTTACCATGAGTTGCTTTGTGCGATCCCGGTCCTGAAAGTCACTGCAGTAAAAATAGGGTTTTTCCCCTTTTTTTTCTGGCAACAAAACTGAAACCTTTTTACAAGGATTCATGTCTGCATTAACCACAATACCTGCAGTCAAAATGCAAACAAAAAACCGTACTATGATAATATATGCATTGTCCTTGAAACTGATTGGTCCAGACCAAGGGACGGCTTTCTTTTGAGCCTCGACCCAATTGGTGCTCGACTAGATGACGCCAAAAGGCGTACACTGCAGTACTGTTACGATGTGATGAGGTTGTCTATCCAGCACCAGCGGTGTAGTAACGACATTATCAGTGGCGTTGTCGCTACATTACCAGCTCGGGGTGCGGCAATCGGTCAGGTGGGGGCCCCCAATATTTGATTTGTCTCGCACAGTCGCTTATCATTACTCTCACGGTCTCGAACATTTAACATAGGGGGCCCCAACTCGTAGCTTTGGCCACTAGGGGGCGGTGGGGGTTGCAAAGAAACCCCGTGTCCCCATGCTTGTTTCGCCACTGCCCAGCACGGTAACAGAACAACTGAGACATGATCATATTCTTTGGGACTTTCGGTAAAGTCACGTAGATAGGTTGAAAGAAAATAACAAAAAAACTACGACGTTTCGATCGCAACACAAGCGTTCGTCATCAGGACGGACGCTTGTGAGACTACATTACCAGCTCAGGACGAACGCTTGTGTGACTTATTTTATTTGAACCTATCCACGTGACTTTACCGAAAGACCCAAAGAATATTACCCAAAGAATATTAATTCCTGCAGTCACGAAAGCTTTAAGTCGAGATTTGAGATATGAACGTTAAGACCACTCTTATAGTTGACGCGTAGCGACCCCTAACGTCGAAGCATGGGACAGTTTCTTACCCAAAGTGACATCACCACCTCCACAAGGGGCACGTGATACATTATCCAAGATTCCAGAATGATTTATTGAAACTGGTGAGGTCTCTGGGATGTGGGGAGTGTCCATGTGAAGGATAGAGGTATGATTGTGTTTCTCCATTGTGATGGGACTTTGTAGGATGAACGTTGAGATTTATAAGGGCATAAATTGGTCTTGAATAAGGTAGGCACTGATAAGGGGTTGACAGGTATGTGTTGGTTTGCCGAATGAGATGCCAGTCGTCTCATTCAATCAACCGACAAACCACTGTAACACTTTGGTCTGTCAGATGATAAACTGTGGGAGAAAGGTTAATGCGCCTTTTGAGCTCTTAAACAAAATATCACGAACATTTTCACAAAACTTTTTTTGAGAAAACAGATTGTACGGGATGTCCATACATGTATCATAGATTGTTAAAGATACAGCATTTGGAAAGGGGTAATAATACTTAAAATGTTGTAAACACGTTCCTTACATACGCAGGTTGTTTAAAACCAAAAAGCCCCAGCGATCTTTAACAACATACAACAGAACCTTTCAAAACAATTCAATCTCGCCACAATGCTTTGTGGGTTTGGTGGAATGCAACGAATTTGAAAACAAATCATTCGACCAAGTGTGTGTACAAGCGCAAGTTACTAAACATAACAACATGCTTTAAAAATAAAAAAAGTACATTAAAGGCAGCTTTTCGGGCACATAAAGAGGCCAGAGAGTTAAGAGAGATATGTGCATGTTGTATCACTCCAGCTCCAACTGCTGTCTAATTATAATTCTTCTATAATCGTGAAAGGTACATTTTATGTATCACCTGTATCATAATATGACATTCTGATAGGCCTTAATAAGTCTCAAGCTCAAATCGGTCAGCCGCGTTCTGCATTGCAATATTCTGGCAGGTTCCTTTCTAAAGAGGGGTTTCTCTGTGTTTGAAAATAAACTGTAGAAAGAACCCTCTCAATGCGTATACGCTTTCAAAGGCCTGCACAGATTGGGTCGATGACCCACTTGCTCCACTGTCACCGCCTGGCCACCTTGCAGCTCGGTGGGTTTGGGAGTTTAACGGCCTACCCTAGTGGTGGGCAAACCTGCGGCCACGTGTCATTCCAGATTGTGTTGTGGTGCAGCTGGCTGCACTGCCAAATCAGTTGAACAGAGACACCGTCACTGCATCGCGTGCTTTCAGATGTACTTCTGCGCATCTGAAAGCTCTTCCTTCCCGATATTAGGAAGCCACTGACTGGAGCTATGCACTTTTAAATATAGATTGAAAACTAATTTCTTGAGAACTGCTGTTTGTGTTTAGGTTGCTCTGCTTCCCCCGCACTGCCGATAAGCACGGTTGGCTACGTATGGTGCGAAAGAAGTCCAACGTACGTACACCCACACACAGTTGGTGCGGTCACAGCCACGCTCGCCGCGCGTGCCCACTACAGCTCTTCTCACCGACGTGAACTCTTCTCCGTGGGCCTCGCCGTCCTCCCGCCACCGCGACCCCGTCCCTGTCCCGCCGGCCCCCTGGCGGGACACACTGGCGGCAGGCAGGCCTGGTACCTCTGCGCCCGCCGCCCGTCCAAGGTAGTGCGCAGCACCGAGTCGAAGCGCTGGTGCGCCATGAGCTCCTCAGCATCGAGCCACGTCGGTGGCGGCCGCATCGCCTCCGCCCGTTCGTGCCACACGAAGCGGAAGATCGCGCGGTCCGCGCCGGCGCTGCGGGGGGCCCAGCGGCGCGCGAGCTCCAGCGCCGTCAGCCCCGCGGCGTCGCGAGCGTCCGCGGGGGCGCCGTGCCGCAGGAGTTTGTGCAAGGCCTCGAGGCTGCCGCTGGCGGCCGCCGCGTGCAGGGCCGTGCGGCCGCAAGGAGTGGTGGCGCTCGCGCTTGCGCCTGCATGCGCGATGGCGAGTGACGGGCAAAGGGCATTTGTGGAATGATGAGAGTTTTTGTTTGATATAGCGTCTCACAGACCTTCAAATCATCATCATCGTCGTCATATCTCAAACAGTGATAGGCACCCCAAGTGACAGATGTCTCTGTGGGCACAAAATGACTCGGCACCTGGCCTGCAAACGGGCCAGGGGGGGGGGCAATGGTTGCTACGGATAATCCCAATTGATTCATTCATTGCGTGTCATTTTCGCTTGAGGAAAATGTGGACCCTGATGCAATGGCATACTCTTTCGAGTTGCATCACAGGATCTTTAACATCCATTCAAAGGCACGCGGTGCATATTATAGTTATTACACCCCCAGTAATAATCAGGGCGGCCGCTGGATTACAACCGAGAGTCAAAAAGCGGCGAATGGGCTACCGCTTGGCCATGCCATTGCCTATCTGGCTGCTATATCCACACATATATACACGTTTCTAATAGAAGGCAATGCATCACAATACATTGTTTTATAGTACCATGCTTCAATGTCTATGCACCCCACCTCACCAATCCACACAGACCAGTGGAGGGAAGAATGGTACAATTATCTCCACAAGCCACAAGGCATAAGGAGGCCTCATCCAGCAGTGGATTTACAAAGGCCTGTAGATGTTTGATATACTAGCAGAGTTTGTGTTAACCTCTCAGCAAAATTATTTCTACTGCTATTTACCAGGTAACGCCCACTGAGCTATTCGCTCTGTTTCAGAGGCGACCTGGCCACGCATCACAGTGGCTTATATCACGTGGAATAGTTACACTAGCCAACTAACCTAAACACTTGTTTCTATATGTGGAAGGCAGAACTGTAGAACCCAAAGAAAAGTCCACACGACCACCGGGCGAGAGAACATGCGGACTCCAAATATGCATAAGTCTGGGTCAGGAATGAACCCACAACCTCCTGGATATCAGGCGAGGGAGATATCATCTTGCCACCTTGACTGGTCTCATTATGCTTCCCAGAGCGTGGCGGCTTGCACGTACGTGTGTTGAACTTTCTGCCGCAACCGCACGTAGCCAACTGCGCAAATGGGAGGCGGGGGTTTCTGCTGTACCTCCCCCCGCCGGCGTGTGACATTCACCGTGCCGGAGCAAGAGCCCCACGAGGCCGGCGTGGTTGCGGTGCGCGGCGACGAAGAGCGCCACGAATGCGCGGCGCGAGCGCCACGCCGAGAGGTCGGCGGCGGACAGACGCGCGGCGTGCGGGGTGCGGAAGTCGCCGTAGCTGAGGTCGTCCGTCACTCCCAGACGCAGCACCTAGGGCCGGGAGGCGATTAGGGTGGGGGGGGGGGGAATGTTTGCGCGCAGGCCGAGTGAGCTGGTATTCATAGAAACGCGGGTGTCGCTATCGAGTGTGTCGTCGGAATTCTACGTCGGTGGATGTGGTCTCCACGCGTAACTCGGGTGTTTTTTTTTTATGGGGGACCTAAAGATAAAAAAGAATCGCACTCCCAAAGCAATTTTTTTCTCGCATCATGCAAAGCAATGCTGACTTTCCGCTCGCTGCCTTTCCATGCTGCCAGGGGCGGAGCCAGGATTTTGACTTTGTGGGGGCTGACTTCAGTATTCTGAGATATCCACTGTTTATGTTTTCCAATGGGCGCCACAAATGTATAAAACAAATTTTATTGGATTTGAACACGGAGTTTATTAATAGGTCGGAGCCGCTGATGTGGCTAATAAGTTCGATAAGTTCGCAAGGCTGCCGCTCAAGCAGCCTGCAGGGCAGCACACAAGGTGGCAGCCTGCAGGGCAGCACACAAGGTGGCAGCACAAGGTGGCATCCTGCAGGGCAGCACAAGGTGGCAGCCTGCAGGGCAGCACACAAGGTAGCAGCTTGCAGGGCAGTACAAGGTGGCATCCTGCAGGGCAGCACAAGGTGGCAGCACAAGGTGGCAGCCTGCAGGGCAGCACAACGTGGCAGCCTGCAGAGCAGCACGAGGTGGCAGCCTGCAGGGCAGCACAAGGTGGCAGCCTGCAGGGCAGCACACAAGGTGGCAGCCTGTAGCATTTTGCAGCAGCCAGATATCCGATTATCCCGATTACCGACTTTCCCAAAATTTCAGGGGGGGGCTGAGCTCCCCCCTCATCCCCCCCTGTGGCTCCGCCCCTGCATGCTGCACAGAAATGTCACGTGCCAGGCAGTCCCAATTCCGTACTGTATCGTGCAGTAACTAGACTACTATAGCATTGGATTGTGCGTCAAAGAATTAGCTTGTGACATTTGGTTGTCTCAATGTTTTTGTTTGTTTGTTATATATGTCAGGGCACACCACCCCTGACTTGGTCCAGTAAAAGTTTCCCTCGTTTTACGCGGGTTCAGTTTGTGCGATCTCGCGTACATGCGGTTTGAATTCACTCGAATGAGGCCCTGCAGTCGGGCGTGGGACAACATTGCGTGTGTGTGCGTGTTGCGTACCGCTTTGTGATTTCGCTTTGCGCACCGTTTTCTTTTTGAAACGCATCTACCCCACAAAGCGACTTAAACCTGTAGCTCGAGGGCACACTGTAATTGGGAGAAAAAAAACCTAAGAAAAATTAAATGGCCGCTGGGTGAAGTGATAAGGGATGGGATAGGGTTCAAGTTAGTGTCAGTTGTAGGATTAGTGCTAGTTAGGCTTAGAGGTAGGAATAAGAGATTGGTTGTTATTATAGTTAGAACTCAACTGCTCATTGATGCCTCTTCTTTGTCCACGGGTAAGATCGAGGGCGCATCAGGTGGTGACGCACCACGGACGTGGATTCCTACCTCTGGGTCTCCCCGGAGGGCAGCCGTCACCAGCCGGTGCCAGCCGTCATGCTGCCACACGCGCACGCCCAGCGTTGCCCCTGCCACCGTGTCCAGGGAGCACAGGGTGGCCTCATCTGCCAGGTCTCCTGTGAGGAGTGAAAAAAAACGGCTGCAAATAGGGACGAGTGGGTAGCGATGGACGAGGAGGTAGGTTTCAGTGGGTATACGCCTAGGTGGGTAAGTAAACAATGTCAGTCTTCCGAGCCACCGTGCCACCTCGAATCCTCTCCTTCGGTCGTAGCCGCCCATCTCGCGAGGTGACGCCACGCACGCGCAGTATCAATCACCTTCGTCCAGGTAGCTCAGCCGCTGGAGGTCACTCGGGATTCCGGCTGTGATCTCCAGGAGCTCCTTCACCTGCCGCACGCGAGTGTCACGGTGACAGCCCGGCAGGTCGACCAGCTCCCCGGAGTCAACCAGGAGGGCGCGCGGCTCCGACGCTTGCCGACGAGTTTTCGAGTAACGGCGGTGCGGCGGCGGTGGCCTCGGGCTGACCATGCAGCGCTGGCGGTCCCTGCTGCAGATCCACTGCATGAGTGCTGCTGCCGCACAGTGCACAGTTGAAAGCCTCGTGAATCCTTCACATTTGCATCTATGGGACATTTTTTTTTGTCGGTATCAAAGTAAGACAAAAACAAGAGTAGCTTATTTTTTTACCCTTCACGGTAATAAAACAGGTTTTGATTTAAAGCTTTCGTGACTGCAGGGATTTATGTTCTTGGTTCTTTCGGTAAAGTCACGTAGAAGGGAAACAATAAAATAATAAAAATAGAAAACAATACAATTCTTCATAATAAAGGTGTTTGGGTTAGATCGCGTTATTTATAAATGTGTCGTAACCCTCCACCACCCGACACGGCCAATCAGCAAAAAAGTGTCACGTTGACAAAAGACAAATAGTTCACTACTTTAGCCCACCGGTGTGTTAAATAGTGAATCCACAACATTTACAGTTTGAGTACGACGTTTCGCTGGTAATTACATTCAGCATCATCGGGCAATTCGCCAGAATGGTAAAGCCCTCACTTGGCTCCCGGTCTTAAATAGAACAGCAGGGTGACGTCATCATTGAACTAATTCAGGTAAAAAACACAGCTGTGGTTTTCACACCTGATAATGATTGCTTGTATTGCAGTCGAAACATGGTGAGAATTTAATTGTTTTATATTTTTATTATTTTATTGTTTCCCTTCTACGTGACTTTACCGAAAGAACCAAGAATAATAAAACAGGTGTTAAGATGTTTAAACGCCAAATAGATACCTTTTTCAAAACGCATCAAGGCTGCATTAACCACACATGGTACTTGTGGCAAAACATGCAAACAAACATGCCTTGTCTTTATAAGCGCTCAACCCGAGCTATGAATACTTGTATACTTCCATTGCCTTTGTACAAGACCAAAAGGAAGATGCTCTTTGGTTCTATTCGGTAAAGTAACGTAGGTAAAAATAAAATAACAAAAAATCACGACGTTTCGGCCACAACACAAGTGGCCTTCATCAGGTGAAGGGACTGGACTGTCCAGAGGACACTCCAACGCTGTTCTCTGGACAGTCCAGTCCCTTCACCTGATGAAGGCCACTTGTGTTGTGGCCAAAACGTCGTGATTTTTTGTTATTGAATTTTTACCTACGTGACTTTACCGAATAGAACCAAAGAGCATGGATCCTTGCAGTCACGAAAGCTTCAAATCTAGAATCAAAAGGAAGATGTCATATTGAGACTTGCTCTTGCCAGGTTTTCCCAGCTTACCTCGTGCAGCACGGTATCGACAAGGCTCGATTACTGTAACTCACTACTCTATGGGACGTCTGGCAAAAAACGATTACCAAGCTGCAGGGTGTACATCATTCTTTGGCACGTGTCGTGACCGAAACAGCAAGATCCGGCCATGTACTTCAAGTGGTCGCCGAGCCACATTAGCTTACGGTTGCCAAAATAATATATTGCAAGGTCGCATTCTTTCCACAAAATGTTTGCCACAAATGAACCACAATACCTTGCTGATCTCGTCAAGGAGCAGAAACTATCGCGCGAATTCCGGTAATCCTCGCAGCAGCGGATTTGGCTGGCCATCGAACAAAGACGGTCACCGCATCGTGCGCTTTCAGATGTGCTTCTGTGGCCGTCTGGAACGCTCTTCCTTCCAATATTAGGTAACCACTGGGAGCTCTGCACTCTAGAGGTTTATTTGACTTCTTCCTAAAAACTATAAAATATATATTTTTAAATTTTACCAGGTAAAGCCCACTGAGCTATACAGCTCTCTTTCAGAAGCGACCTGGTCATAAATTGTAGCTAAATGAAGCGGCTTGTCAAGTGGAAATTTATATCAGCAGCCAAATACTCTACAACGCGTGATATTGATTCTAAATGTGGAGAGAAAACCCGGAGGGCCCGGAGAAGAATCCACGCTACCACGGGGAGAACGAACACGCAAACTCTATATATATACAGCAGCAGGCGTCAGGGTCGGGATCGAACCCACGACCTCCTGCATACCAGGCGAGGTAGTTAACATCTCCTAGTCACTGTGATGATGAGAGAGACACGCAAACTCCAAATATACAACAGCAGGCGTCAGGGTCGGGATCGAACCCACGACCTCCTGTATACCAGGCGAGGTAGTTAACATCTCCTAGCCACCGTGATGTTGATGATGAGAGACACGCAAACTCCAAATATACAGCAGCAGGCATCAGGGTCGGGATCAATCCCACGACCTCCTGCATACCAGGCGAGGTAGTTAACATCTCCTAGCCACCGTGATGATGATGAGAGAGAGAGACACGCAAACTCCAAATATACAGCATCAGGCGTCAGGGTCGGGATCGAACCCACGACCTCCTGTATACCAGGCGAGGTAGTTAACATCTCCTAGCCACCGTGAAGATGATGAGAGAGAGACACGCAAACTCCAAATATACAACAGCAGGCGTCAGGGTCGGGATCGAACCCACGACCTCCTGTATACCAGGCGAGGTAGTTAACATCTCCTAGCCACCGTGAAGATGATGAGAGAGAGACACGCAAACTCCAAATATACAACAGCAGGCGTCAGGGTCGGGATCGAACCCACGACCTCCTGTATACCAGGCGAGGTAGTTAACATCTAGCCACCGTGATGTTGATGATGAGAGAGAGACACGCAAACTCCAAATATACAGCAGCAGGCATCAAGGTCGGGATCAATCCCACGACCTCCTGCATACCAGGCGAGGTAGTTAACATCTCCTAGCCACCGTGATGATGATGAGAGACACGCAAACTCCAAATATACAGCATCAGGCGTCAGGGTCGGGATCGAACCCACGACCTCCTATATACCAAGCGAGGTAGTTAACATCTCCTAGCCACCGTGATGTTGATGAGAGAGAGACACGCAAACTCCAAATATACAGCAGCAGGCATCAGGGTCGGGATCAATCCCACGACCTCCTGCTTACCAGGCGAGGTAGTTAACATCTCCTAGCCACCGTGATAATGATGATGAGAGACACACACACCACGACCTCCTGTACACCAGGCGAGGTAGTTAACATCTCCTAGGCACCGAGGCGCCCATTGTGAGAGATGTTGGCAGCACCCACACTTTACCCCACCACACGCGAGCTGCCCATCGACTGCAGTGTGACCCATTCACACCGCTGGGTGGACAAGAGGCCCTTTGCTTCATCTGCCGCGACTCGATGTCGAAGAGGCGACCACACGGGTACTGTATACTCTTTGGTTCTTTCGGTAAAGTCACGTAGGTATAAAATAATTCACTACCTACTACGTGATGACTTTACCGAAAGAACCAAAGAGTATGGATTACTGCAGTCACGAAAGCTTCAGATCAAGATTGAGTACTGTATACTTACAGGGCTATTTAAATCCCACACTGGCCAAAAGTCACACTTCGAACGGCAATAACGGACACCGCAGTGTGTGTGTTTTTTTAATGTGTTTGTAAAAGTTATACTTTGTTAATTTAAAAGGCTTTAAAAAAATATAATGTTAGTGATTGAAACACGGAGAGCGCACCATCACCTTTGACAGCTGACGCGGGCTGTCCGCACACGCACACACACACAGACCGTTGCCACGGCAACCGCACACATAATTTACAACAATTTTGTTTATTGTCAGCTCAAAAGCTGTGTGATTTATTTGTAAAAAAAAGTACTCAATTATGACATATTTGCATATCGTAAAGCGTTCTCAAATGTAATCATAAGCGGGTTATGAGCGCGAGGCAGCCGCGCAGGCGCAGCTGAGAACCGCGCAGGGCGACTAGACGAGGCCGAGCACGAGGACCCCTCACTCCCCTTGCGGCCTTGCGCGCTCAGCTAGAGCGGGCGGCGTTTAATTGACAACTTAAAGGAAGATTTAACAACGTTTTATTTTTCGATTATCATACACGAATACCGCCCACGGCCGTCAAGATGTCATTGGCGTTCTCCGCGCGGTGTCTGGCAGGGCGAACGGTGACTGCAATGCGTTCTGTTGTTTGACCTTGCTGTTGACAGGGTGACCGGGACACAGTGAAAACATCTCAGCAGTGTATTAACTTACTACTGATAATAATAACACTGACTACTATAACTACTACTACTACAATAACAGGCATTGTAAAATCATTAACTCGCGCGTATATGTATGTCTATAACGATTATAACATTGGCCGTCATATCTCATAATAGTGGATGGACTGGCACCCGCCCCTGTAAATGTGGAATTGACACTCTTTGAGTGCTGCGCTTTGCTTGATTGAAACACAAGCGTCGCTTTGGTTAGACTGCCCTGTGATACGGTACTCAAATACAAATAAGATTAATGTTCCACTCGTTGTCAATACACTGGTTGATTAAGACCTGCCCACGCCCTCTTGAGTATTGGGAGTTGTGTAATCGACGTCCATACTTCACCACGCTGGTCGGTACGGCTCGGTTTAACGATTTCACTCGCCACCGATGTTAGCCGTGGTCTCGAATTGGAACTCGGGTCGCCCCGGGTGCGTAGCGGAGTGCGCTAACCGCTGCGCCACCGTTCCACCACCACACGCAGGGACCATTCAGACATGGGGGTAGTTTTCACACTGCTCATTGCCAGAAATTAGAATCGCAATCTTTATTTACACTGGAGGAATCCGATGAGCTATAAAGCTCTTTTTTCACAGACGTCCAGTAGGGGCAGGTGATGATGCGCTCTGTCGTGTTAATCGTTCACATTATTTCTTAAAGCTTTTAATTAAACACTTCTGGATTAGATCCTCCGCACGATGTGTGCACAGATTGTAGGAGTGATTTGACCATACTTCATGCTGGTCTGCGGGTTGGCAGTGGAGAGCGTAGACGTGAGAGTATAGACTCACAGTACAGTACAACATAGCATTTAATGCACTGCCGTCTATTGCCCACAGCGTAGCCCCAGAATTTGACACCTGTGTGATGTGTGGGCCACCCATCCAAGCAAAATCCAGGCTCAAATTTGCTTAGCTTCCGATAATTGACGGGTTCGGGCGCATTTTTGCTGATTTGATCAGAGGCCCCATTTGGAATATAATTTTGGAACGTAAGCAAATGTAAATAAATATCACAATGATGAATACCTGTGGGTGGTTTGTTAGGGTTGCAGGATAACCAAGCTCAGTATTCTCACCTTTCACACGCACGGTTGTCAAATCAATTTTTAACTGCACCTCACTCGTCAGGGTCAGTGTCACAGTTGCTCCGTAACCTCACGTGTGTCGGCAAGTGAACCGTTTAATTTACGAACCAATAAAACATTGCACGCGATCTACGTCTTCATCCCCATTCTATGTCATTTAAAGAAAAAAAAACGGGATTCATATTTGTTTTGCATTTTGTGTGTTTTTGTTTTATGTGGGCCACCAATCGAGCTCGCCCAATAACCCCCGATAACTCTGGGAGTTGAATCTTAACTGCTGAGCTGTGTGTATGTGGTGGGCAGATCCAGCAGGTGCGAGGGATCTGCCGCTCGGCTGCTGTCCAGAGTGGCGGAAGTCTCTTCGTGGTGAGCAAAACACTCCATCGTGATGGCCGCAAATGCATTCGCTGAAATGTCTAACAATTTTCTCGTTAAATAAAATATAAAGGCTTGCATTGGCAGTGGTGTACAATTGCTGTACAAAAATGCACAACCACATATCGATCACACTCTTGTAATATAAATGAAAATGTATCATGTCAACGTTGATACCTGTTTCTCAGTGCCCACGAGTTTTACGTTTGTGAACCTCGTGAGTGGAAGAGGCCAAGGGGTCGGCCACGATTTATGTTGTGTATGTTGAACTTCTTTCACACCGTACGTAACCAACAAACCAAGCCTCGTGGTTGCATCAGGTCGACCATTACTGTCAAGACTTGGGGATAGAAGGGAGCTTGCTTTTGTGGGCTTTTGCAAGGAGGGGGGGGGACCCCTAGCAGTTGGCACCAGAGGTTTGGATGCTACAACGCGTCGTCTCGGCATAAGCTCCCACACTTAGGTCGAGCTCATTATTCACATGTATATATTCAAGTAATTTCACGGCACAAATTACCCGCCCGTCAATCTTCACGTGCTCTTTTCTGCTCTGAAGAAAAATTACTGCTCAGAACATTGGCTTGCCGTATATTGTGTCTGTTTTAGGCGGTGTTGATGAGATCGTTTTTTCTTTGACCTGGTACGTTTACTGTAGAATGAGCTTTATGCTGGCTCAATATATTTTAACACAATAATACTAAATTCTTCCCTTTTAGTTTAATGCTTTACCAAACGAGATAAAATAATTGTTAGAAGAACAAAACTTAAAAATACATGCGATTATTAAAGGAGGATGAGAATTCAAATGAGGAAATGAGGAGGTGAAAAAGAGCAGGATTAAGTGCTTTTTGGGAAATGTAATTTATAGCAAAAGGCATTGTATTCATTTGTCTGAAGTAGCAGAACATTATCAGTGAGAACGTTTTTGTGTTGCCAGCCATGAAATAGATCAGAACAATGGACACTGGCAAGAAAAATGGAACGAAATATGAAGATTCAATAAAACATGGAGTACCGCATGCGTAGAAATAGCCTGAGACAATGAGGAACACGTGGATTGGGGAAACATACAAACCAGAGACATCGCGGTGACTCTTGAGTAGGACGTAGATTCTGGTCAATGGACGACACTGGTTATAGAATGGCAGTCAAAGGAAACGAAGCATCTTGAGAGAATGATTGCTACCAAGATGGAACCATGAGGTCAATTTATTTGCCGGTGTGAGATGGATTTTGATAACACTGGGCTATGTGGGTTGGCAACAGCACAGGGAGACCATGCAGACAATGGCAGATGAGTCCAAAAACCTCTTTATATACAAAGGCTTGTATTCAGGGCTGTCTGCTCGAAAGAAGGGCCGATGTTGCAACTTTGTCTTAGAATACAGGATCTTTTAAAGTTTCTACAAAGCATCTGAAACAAAAACACCATTTAAAATGTTAGCCAATGCCAAATTTTAGCCAATCCATCAATTCCTTATTTTAAACAAGTTATATTTGTAACTTGACATTCTAAATTCTAATTATATTATTTACACATTGACCTTTCTCCAGCATGTTAGCCTATTATACATGTTTTCAGTTGTTAGACAGTGTTAATGATGAATGCTCTTGAGTTGGTTATTGTTATATTCAGGTAAAAGTTAATGTTTTTCATCACAATTGTGGCACAGTGCAATGTCTTTTGTGCATTTTGTACACAGTGCAGTCGCTAGGAAATGTGTTTGATTAACGTCGTTGATATTATGCTAACATGTGATTTCCACTTAATTGTTTTCCATCCAGCACAGGGACTCAGCCGAGAACAACCTAAACACGCCCTTTGACTTCACCCCTGAAAACTACAAGGTGAACCAAGTAAATTGGTGGCTGCTCTGAGATGTGCCACGGTGGCGAGATGTTAACTCCCTCGCCTGGTATACAGGAGGGCATGGGTTTGATCCCGACCCTGACACCTGTATATTTGGAGTTTGCGTGTCTCCCCCCCCTCCCCCCCCCCCCACCATAGTCGCGTGGATTTTTCTCCGGGCCCTCCCGTTTTCCCTCCAAGTTTAGAAACGTGCGTTTGGAGTGGTGGTTCTTCACCTTTACTGTAGCCTGCACCCCTTTGGTTCTCAGAAAGGGCCTCTCGCACCCCCAGGGGATGCGTGCACCCTAGGCTAAGAACTACTGGCTTTGAATATTTGGCTACTGTTATAAATTTCCACATGATAAGCCACATCATTGGGATATCTATCATTTGTGGCCAGGTTGCTTGGGAAAAATATATATATAGCTCAGTGGGCCTTACCTGATGAAAGAAAAATAGTTTAGGTGAAATAGGTTAAAGTCTAGCTTTGACTGAAAAAAAATGGTTTAACATGTAAAATGCGTTTCATGAGTGTGGCTGAACAGACCCATCGAAAATATTTCTGAATACTTTTGCATTGTCATCTTTCTGGGCCGTTCAGACACAAGGTGGTGCACTGATTGCTCTTAAGGGTTTGCAGTTGTTTTTTTCTGTTGCCTTATGAGATTACATCAATAGCACAAATGGAATGGAATTACGATGGAGAAAAATCTTCACAAATATTTGCTGTATTGTACGCATGTAACGATCAGTGAATCAAATCCTGCGTTTAAGAATGGCTTCTGATTTATAAAAGTTTTATGCTCATAATAAAGAATTAAAGCTTTCGTGACTGCATAAATTACTCATTGTTTTTTTCGGTAAAGTCACGTATGTAGAAATACAATAATTTGAATATAATTTTATTGTATTTCTACATTCGTGACTTTACTGAAAAAACCAATGAGTAATTATATGCTCATGTTACATTTCGAATAATTGTATGAAACGGAACAAATGAGATGCAATTAACGATACAGAAAACAAGAGGACAATACCAACAAATAAAAAAGTATTTGGGTTTTTAATCAAGTCATAAAAATTCATGTAATCACTGGGGTAGGAGTGGGGGAAGTGGATGGTTCATGGGCCCATAATTTTGTATTTTAGAGAAAATGTATCTGAAATACACATATTACTTAGAAACAACTTCTAACATTTGCTGTGAATGATGAGAAACGCATCGGACAGATTCGTGAGTGCAGGATATAAATGACTAGGAGCTATAATACAAACGGTTATTTCTAACACATTCAAACGAGTGATTGTGACTGTCGGTTCAGTCTCGTGAAATGGCCACCAAACTGCGTGTACAACCATGTTAATGGCGACCGATTCTCAAAATAGTCACAGTTGTTACCGTACCATTTTTCTTGACGTATAAAGTGTTTATGTAATTGTGTCGTGCAGCGAATTGAGGTGATCGTTGGCAATTACCCGGCTGAGCACAAGGCAGCTGCTGTTATCCCAGTTCTAGACCTGGCCCAGAGGCAGCATGGTTGGCTGCCCATCTCCGCGATGAACAAGGTAGGCATGTCAGGTTTGTCTCGCTTTGGTTACGGTTGGCTGAGGACATCAACAGGAGTGTTTAATTCCAGTGGCATGCGTATTCTGTAATACATTGATGAAATATTGTAAGATTGAGCTTTGCCGCCTTCTTACGTGTTGTATTTTGAAACAAAAAAGTAAGATGGATCAGTATAAGTTTGAAGTATAAAGATGCATCATGAGACCTCCTTTGCAAGTACCAAAATATGAGAATAGGTTTTCCTCTTTTTTCTGGCAACAAGGCAGTTGTTTAGATGTTAAAACACCAAACTGAAACCTTGTACAAGGAATCGTGTGTGCATTAACCACAATTCTTGTGGTCAGAATGCAAACAAAAAACATACTCTGATAATATATGCATTGTCTTTTAAACTGATTGGTCCACACCAGAAAAAAAGGGGAAAACCTATTCTCATAAAGATGCACTTGTTTCAAAATTAAACTGTAATTTGTCATTTATTAACCGTGAATGGAACATCAAATCACTGATGAAATAATTTGGTCATGCTCGCAATACAGTCCATGCATCAGCATATTTTCTGTTGTCATCGGTGTATGTGTGCCCTCTTTAGACACATTGCACTCTACCCGGTCACCTGAGTTCAATTCCCGGTCACGGTTAACATCAGTGGCGAGTACCCTGAGAAAACCCATGCCTGTGAGGTGACGACACAACTGCTATATGGGGAGGGACAAACAGATATGTCGGAATTTTGCTGTACTGCCTTTATTGGTGATGCCTCGACGCCCACGTGTAGGAAGTTTCACAACATTTGCACGATCCACCAACCCTAACCTCAACAGTGCTGGATTACAGGCGTGCATAGCCACCACCACAACTCGGCAAATGATCAAACGACCTCCAGAGACAAACCCACGTGGCGTGGGGGAGACCCTCGTGCAGCAGTGGTTTGACAAATGGCTGCAAATCGTGATCGTTCTTTCGAATGTTGAGTTGAGATCCCCTTGTGGTGTGGTGGTCAGGTGGCAGAGCTCCTCAAGATACCCAAGATGCGTGTGTATGAGGTGGCCACCTTCTACACCATGTACAACCGCCAGCCCATGGGGAAGTACCACATCCAGGTGTGCACCACCACTCCCTGCATGCTGTGCAACTCGGACAGCATCGTGGAGGCCCTCAAGAAGAAGCTGGGTACGAGAAAAAAACAAACGAACAAACACGCAAACCCTCAGATGCACCATCGGCTATCCTTGCGGGCAATGCATAGCGCCTGGCAACGTGAGCGACTGTGATGTCGACACCGGCGTACCGGTCATACGTATAGGATTATTGCGTAGGATGTATGTTGAACTTCTTTTGCACCGTACGTAGCCAACCGTACTAATCAGAGGTGTGGGGGAAGGACAACAAACTAAACACAAAAGCTATTATATTCTTGGTTCTTTCGGTAAAGTCACGTAGAAGGCAAACAATAAAATAATAAAAATATAAAAAATACAATTCTCACGATGTTTCGACTGCAACACAAGCAATCATCATCAGGTGTGAAAGAACCAAGAATATGAATCCCTGCAGTCACGAAAGCTTTAAATCAAAACAAAAGCTATTCTCAATAAATTAGTTTTCAATGTAGATGATTTAAAAATGCATAGCTCCAGTGGCTTCCGCATATCGGAAGGAAGAGCACGTTCCAAACGGTAGCAGAACCGCATCTGAAAGTGTGAGATACGGTGACCCGTCTTTGTTCGGTGACCAGCCAAAAGCCGCTGCTGCTGCTGCGGCGAGGGTTATTGGAGTTCGCAAGGCGATGGTTTACATGCTGCATTGCAGACGCTTTGTCAGGCTCGAGCGAAGTGATAAATCGAGCACGGTGCTCTAGAGCGCCCAGCTGTATTGATTTATTGGGCAGTGTAGTGAATTGAGGAGATATGTTACTACTTTACGCTGCGCCTAATAACTGGGCTTGGCGATGCTTTCCTGAGTAAAATAGAAAAAAATAATTACACAAGTTTAAGTGTTGAAAATAACCGGTAAGTTGTGTTTTTCATTCTCTTATTTATGTAATGTTATATAATGTAATTGCTGTTATTTGAAACATCTACATATACATTGTGTTGCATTGAGACGTAATCAGTGATGGCTTTGATAGTTTGTATACAACTGCGCATCCAAATACATTTTTGCAGCATTGCACCTTGAACCCGAAAACTATAATTCTCGTAAAGATGATTCCGAAGTGCACCAATCTGTAGGATAAAATGTTGTGTTGCTGTTCGGGACTTGGCCTATTGAAAACTGGCAATATAGGTCAAAGGGTTGCCGAAAACTTAGGACACAAACCAGAGCAAAAAAGTATTACTTGTAAGTTTGCAAACGTGTTTTAAGCCCTGGCAGCTGCGCATCGGCTTCCATACTGCTAATTTAATTATTCCGAATGCAAACGTGTGGTGGAAAACATTTTATATACACAGTAGACTCTCGATTATCCACAAAAATGACGGGATGGACGGCCGCGGATAATAAAAAAATCGCGAACAATCCAACAATACAACCATTTTCTGCAGATCTCAATGCCAAAAACCACTAATATAGGTAGACATTGTTTACGTTAAGAAAATGTAGTTAATGAACAAAACAAACATTTGCAGTAAAGAAAAGTCCATACAAAAAAACACTCACTTAAACAGGTTTGAAAATACTTTCCTGCTCCCGCGCAGAAGACCCGGCCCACCAAGTGGGTGATAGCAGAGCCACGCCAATCAACATCAATCAAACTCCGCCCACTGTTGTAAAGATATGCAACTACTGTACTGTAGAGGCGATCACGTAGATTTCGGATTAACCGGAGTACATAATTGTTCGGTTTAAGCACGTGACTTGTCATAAACATTTCCAAGAATAACAATGTATAACTGTTTTTAGATTATTAATTTGGGCTCAAGGAAAAATACATGAGCTGTTAATTTATGTCAAAATTTCAGGTGGGCGGTTAATCCGCAATTTCGGATAGACCGCACGCGGATAACGAGAGTCTACTGTATGTACATGTAACCCATGCCAATTAGTGAGTCTTTCGAGCAGCGCTGTCGTTCCTGGCTCTGTGCGTTTCTTCACCTTCGCTCTGAATGCTTTCAGGGATTAAGCTGGGAGAGACGACGCCGGACAAGATGTTCACCGTCACCGAGGTGGAATGTCTGGGAGCATGCGTGAATGCCCCCATGGTGCAGATCAACGATAACTACTACGTAAGTGAGCAGTTGTTGTGTTTAGTTTGCCGTCCGTCCCTCCCCCCACCCGCGCACCTCCGATTAGCACGGTTGGCTACGTACGGTGGTGAAAAAAGTTCAACACAGACGCGTACGTGCAGTGACGCCTCCTTTAGTTTGTGCGGTCTTTCCACCTTTGCAGAGGTGCGTGGGAAAATTCAAAAGTAGGGGTGAGGAACCTGCAGCCAGAGGACCAGATCCCGGCCGTGACTTCACATCACGCGGATAGCGGTCACATGAGGCATATACCAGTTAATTTTTTTTAATTGTCCGCGAACGATATTCATCAATCACTGTGAGAATTTTAGCCGCACTAAATGGCCACGTTTTTCCACTGCAAGGGCACTCTTGCAAATGAGACTATCCTGGTGTCTTTGAGTTCTCACCTGGTTCAGCAAAGTACATTTCAAACTTTGAAGGGCCCTTTTTTTATATTTTTTAATTTTTAGTTTAATTTATTTGGTTTAACCCTGTGAGCCATTCGGCTCTTGATTCGGGTGCAACCGCAACAAATAATAAAATTACAAGATACATTTAAAATTGACTGCAAGCAAATTGAAACATCCCCTATAAAAACAACTAAATCTTCCAGGAAAAAGCACCATATGTTTATGCTGCGTACAAAAACTGTGCAACAATCCCAGTTTGATGTTAGATCGCAATTTAGATTAAAATTCTAAGTATAACTCTAATCTGCAACATACAAATATGGCTAAACTAAACCTTTTTTAGAAATCACTAAAATAATGCTATAAAAACAACGTAACAGTGATCATTGGAAATGTGACAGAAGTGACTGAGGTGTGTGCTAATTGTGTGGCCCCAACGAAACGCGTTTGAATGTCCTATTTGGCCCTCGGGAATTAAATGGTTCCAAACCCCTGATTTAAAGGACAAGACAACACAAAATTCAAGTATGTTAAGTCAATTTATATTTGATTAACACGTTGTGCCACCCCCAAGTGCAATTACATGAAAAACATGATGATAAAAAATTATATCCAGTAACAAAAAAATGTATAAGTAAGATGTGGCTGTGAGTCAAGGTGATATAGTTTCTCAAATGAGCATGGTTCTTGTAGGAATGTACACGGTTTTGTATGGCATTAATTTGAAGCATTGCGAGTGGGAGTAAAAGTACTAATGTGACTTTCAGGAGCACTCTAGTGACATTACTGTGTGGCTGTTAATGCAGGGAGTGTCTTTTAAAAGTATACACTCTACACTCAATATAAACGTTAATTGGGTATATTTTAAAAGAACCAACCTGTACTAATTTATCACATGCCTAACGTTGACGGGGTTTCAGGTTAATTATGTGGGGCTGCTGAAATGTTGCACTCATCTATCGCAGGAAGATCTGACTGCAAAGGATATGGATGAGATCATTGATGATTTGAAGGCTGGGAAAGTTCCAAAGCCGGGCCCAAGGTGAGTGTAATGGTATTGCGTGTCCAGGATGAATAACTTTTGGGAGTAACAAAAGAAGATTAGAGAAAATGAAATATATATTAAAAATAAATGGACAAACTCAATTAAAATGTATATAATTATCTTATTAGACCTATTTTTAAAGTAGAACTGGAGGCCTTCGTGCCCGAAACGTTACCTCTTGTGTGTGCTCTTTTCCTCTTTGGGGTTAGTGTTATTGACGAAATGTGTTTGAGTGGTTTTGGTATTGTTATCTTTTAAGTAGGATTGTGGATCAAGTGTCATATTTTTTCGACAATAGTTTAAGGAGTCTATTATGGATTTCAAAAGGGTCATATGATGGACAATCAAATCCAGCTCTATTTTTAGTGACGATCGGAACAGATTGGCACGCATGACACATTGAAATCGGATGGCACTTTCAAATTTGTATTGGTCACGTGACAACCCATCACGTACAAGAGGTATATAAAAAAACCTACAGCCCTTTCTTTGTGAGTCCACCGATGAAGGCCTCATACATGCATACATCAGTCATGGGGCTTGTTTGACTATGCTTCATCTCGCTGCTCAATGCAGGTTGGTGGCGGTTAGTTGACGAATACGCGAGCTTTTATCGTTTTATTTACTGCAGTCGTCATTTTACGGGCTGCAGGGGATATGCTATCAGCAGGGGGCAGTGCAACAAATCTAATGTGCATTTTATACTCTCACGTCTATGCTGCCTCTCTCAACCAGCCCCCGCTGATAAGCATGGTAACGTACGGTCAAATAGACCCCGCAATGTGCATGGAATGGGCAAACCTTCATCCAGCTACGGGTTGACGATGAGGCTCTACATGTACCAACTCAACATTATCCTATTCATATTCTTTGGGTCTTTCCGTGAAGCCACGTAGATAGAAAAAATTCAAAGTAATAACAATATCACGACGTTTCGATCGCAACACAAGCAATCGTCTTCAGGTGAAACATCCGTTTAGCACGTAGGCTTACGCGACCGATATCCATAAGAGGTTTTTTGGTTAGATTGTGTAAATGTAATGTGTTGTTAGACTGAAACAGGAGGATTTCTCAACAACTCTGGCTGTCGCCTGATGATGCTAGTTGTAATTCCTGGCGAAACGTCTACTCGAATGGTAAAGGTGGATTTACTCTCCAATGAACCGGTGTGCTGTACTAGTAACGAATTGGCATGAATTGTTTACGTGACAAACATTACCAATTGGCAATGTTGGGTGATGGCGGGTTTAACGACACATTGAAATTTACACGATCTAACCCAAAAACCTCTATTATCGTCAACACTATCCTTCATTTTTCCCTGCGGGTGTGTGTGTGGTCCACCCATTTCGACTCCGTGGACCCCAAAACCAAATACTGTTCTGCAATAGCATTATTTTTGCACAGCAGCAATATTATTAGCACCCCTCAATATTAATGTTGCCCTCTAATGTGTTTTTTGGTTGTACCGCATGCGTTCAGCACGATGTCTGACGTTTCACTACACATGCTGGAAGCTTGACCTGAGATTGTTCAAGAACTGACCTGCATACGCTCCGAGCAAGTGGAGCAAAACCTTTTCACTGCATCGCGCGCTTTTGGATGCGCTTTTGTGGCTGTCTGGAACGCGCTCTGTTTCTATATTAGAAAGCCACTGGAGCTATGCACTTTTAAATCTAGATTGAAAACTAATTTCTTTATAACCGATTTTTTGTGTTTAGATTATTGTCCTTCCCCCACACCTCCGATTAGCAACGGTTGGCTACATGCGGTGCGAAATACGTTTTAGCGTACATACAGACGGACAAAACCTCCGCCATCGTATGTATGTTGAACTTCTTTCCTACCATAGGCAGCCAACCGCGCTAATCGGAGGTGTGGCAGCCGAAGAACACGCGGTACAACATCTGAAGAGCTGGTCGAGCAGCGACAACCTCGCCCAGCACGGAGTGTGAACGTTGCGCGTGCGTGTTTCTCTTCAGGAACGAGCGCTTCTCGTGCGAGCCGGCCGGAGGCCTCACGTCCCTCACGGAGCCGCCCACGGGGCCTGGCTTCGGCGTCCGGGCTGACCTGTGATTGGAGGGGTGGGTGGGTGGGTGGGGGGCTGTCGTCTCCTCAGTTTCCCTCGACCTTTGCCACCTGTCCACAATTTTGTCAACTCAAGTTTGGGAAGAGTTGTTGGGAAAGGTGGCCGAAGTCGGTCAGTCCTTGCGCACGCGAGGACGTGCTGCCCTTGTTATGATAAGACGTTTAGCAACTGTTTCAGAAGGTAAAATGATAAAAAAAAATATATAAACAGCACCCCCTTCCCCATGCTCAGGATGTGTGTAATATGATGTGAACACATTATATACTTCAGCACAAACCCCCGTATTTGTTTTGCAGCTGTGGAGTATATTTGCCTGAATTAACAAGTCCACCTATCCAGGAATATATGAACACATTAAATGAATAGAATCAAATATGAATTTGCAGTGAAGACCAGAAAGCGTTCAATAAAACCTTGTAAATGTCGACGTGGTGTACGCGTGACTTAATTGGATGGTTTTTTTTGTTCTCGATAATTATATACACGGGTGCTTTTATGAGAAGCAAAAAGTCTGTTGAATCAAATGAGGGCATTGGAAAAAATATTGAGAATGTTAAACAATAGGATACACATAGAACTATTGTGAGACCATTGGGAATAAATGAGAAAACGGAAGGACAATGCAGGTGAATGGAATTGTCAATCAAGGGGAATCAAAGCAAAAATGAAGTTGGTTAAAACCACATTGTGGCACTTGGAGAGCCGATGCCTGCATGACAGAATCTCACAACCGGTGGGTGAATTTTTTGAAGATCCGTAGAGCAAACCAAAGCAATCAAATCATGGCCCGCCGGAAAATATTACGTGTGGTTTCGGACGTTGCACCCTTTTGAACTCGCCCTTTCGCAGTACGGGAACGGAGAACGCTCCTGACAAATTAAAAACACTAGGACCTCTTCATCGAAGCAGAACGAGCCGTTGGTTCTAAATCAGTGAAGCTGTTTTACTCGATATTTTTTTTTATGACGTACGATAAAAGACGAGTCTACCTGGACCTTTGGTTTAACACGTAGGCTTTCGTGGTTTGGTTTAACACGTAGGCTTTCGTGGTTTGGTTTAACACGTAGGCTTTCGTGGTTTGGTTTAACACGTAGGCTTTCGTGGTTTGGTTTAACATGTAGGCTTTCGTGACCAATATCCATAAGAGGTTTTTGAGTTAGATCGCTTAAATATAAATGTGTCGTTAAACCCGCCACCACCAAAATTTGCAATTCGTATTGTAAATGTTGTGGGTTTACTCTCCAACACACCGGTGTGCTGTACAAGTAACGAATTGACATGTTTTGTATACATCACAAACCTTACTAATTGGCTGTGTCGGGTGCTGGCGGGTTTAACGACACATTTATACGATCTAACCCAAAATACCTGTATTGTGGTGTGCAGGTGCTCGATGGATTGCTTATGATCATTATTATCATTGCTATATAACAGGCTTGTGAGAGATGGTTGACGGCTTAGGGATGCCTTCATCCGACTGTCGATTGACCGTGGCTTCCGATGATCACGTGCTTTTTTTTCCACGGATCGATATTTTCAAGAAGTTGGATGATTCCGTTTCGCTTAAATGAGCGCCATGGAACTGCTGTGCTGTTAAACGGAATGAACTATCAGTAGTAATAATGATGATGATGTGTGCGTGCATTGTTTTTAAGCACCAACAAAGTCGAATCCCACGAGACGCGTTCCACATCGCAAACTGACATTTCTCCGGAGTCGTTTGAACGAGACTCTAAGATAATAACAACAACAATACGTGGACTAACATTCGAGCAACGTTCGGCCGACAGGCTGCAGCCGGGCCCGAGGTGACTCTAACCTCCAGCAAAAGTCACCGTAGACCTCCCTGCGTGAGATTACCGCAGGCTCGGTCAAACATCTATCGCAAGTGCCGCTTGTTTTGGCACGCAGCAAGCCCGGTCAATGTTTGTTTGTGGCGGAGGAGGTCTAGCGGTGGCGTGGAGCGCTTGGCGCTACGCTGCGTTGGCGAACCCCGTGGCCTCGAGTTCTATTCCCGCTCAGGGCCACCGACGCCGTTGACGATTATCTGAACCGGTCACGGGCCTCCCCTAGGTCGACTCAGCCTCGAATGAGCACCTGGCTCATTCGAGACCGAGCATCGCCTTCTGGGGAGACAAAGGCGTTCGGGCGTGGTGCTGGCCACCCACCCCCTCGTGTTCCATGCCGGTAGCCCTTCATAGGTGCTCGCTAACAGCACTTGCCCCAACAGTCTGTTTAGGCTACACGGGGGGATCTTTGTCTTTGGTATAGCTGAACCCGTCATGTCGTTTGGATTCGGCGATGCCAGTTTTAAAAAGACCGCGATGGTGTCATCGGGCGTGTTATCTTTTTTGTTGTTGTTGCGCCGACAATGCCAAGTGATGGAATCTCGTCAAAAAACTATCGATCGGGCTTATCCTCATCACCATCCTCCTCCTCCTCACCTGGGAGCCGTCGTTTCTTGTGATCATCGGTGCAGATTCCGTCAAAGTGCAATCCTCACTGGGACGTGTTTATGCGACTCGTTTTTTGGAGATTTTGAAGACTTGGAACCCTTTTGGAGAGTCTCCGATCATAGCCGTCGACATTTCAAAAGCACAGGCCAGTGGTTGTTCTCCCTGGCGGTTACGCGAGTTACAAATGCGTGAAATTATATCGTGCCACAAGAGTCATTGATTAAAGAATCACGTATGAATTTACAAATATAAAATAACTACGATGAAGTTTGAATCCACACGGTTACCTATAACGATATAAAGGACCGTTACTAAACTCATTACTCGTAAACCATTTTTTCGCTTGTTGTTACTCACTAGTTAGAGATACCTCACGGAATGGACAATTGGGCTGAAATGTTGATGCTCGTTATTCGTACATTTTATTTCTCAGAAGCATGCCGGGTCAGTCAATGGGGGGTTAACTACTCGGTTGAAATTAAATTCAACAAAAGTTTGAGAGTCAACTTTTCTAGCTTGCTAAATGATTGGTCAATATGGTATGGTCGTTGAAGATAGGGAGTCTCACACCTTCAAACATTAATTCTGGTGATTCCGCAAGGCCGTTGCGTCTCTAAAATAATAAGTTTCTCCCTTTTTTTTTAAATAGCTCGTTATCTTCCACTCGCAAACCGATCCATTTCACGTTGCAGACGACAGTGTAACCTCATGCAGCATTTAAATCGCCACAGCTACGTGCAATCCAACGCTTAGTTGAAAAAGTAAGAAGAGGTTTTGCCCTTTCTGGCAATAAAACAGGGAGTGTTTAAGATGTTCAAACACCAAATAAAAACCTTTTGCAAGGAATCAAGTTACTGCATTCACCACACGTATTTGTGGTGAACATGCAAACAAAAACACGCTCTGATAACATATGCATTGTCTTTAAAACTGATTGGTCTACACCAGAGATAGCCTTCTTAGCCAGCAAGAAGGCTGTTCAGAAGCAATTCAATGGCTTATCATGTGGACATGTCTAGCAGCCAAATACTCGAAACGCGTGTTTCTAAATGTGGAGGGAAAACCGGAGACAAATCCACGCGACCACGGGGAGAGAGAGACACGCAAACTCCAAATATACAGCAGCAGGCGTCAGGGTCGGGATCGAACCCACGTCCTCCTGCATACCAGGCGAGGTAGTTAACATCTAGCCACCGTGGTGATGATGATGACAGAGACACGCAAACTCCAAATATACAGCAGCAGGCGTCAGGGTCGGGATCGAACCCACGTCCTCCTGCATACCGGGCGAGGTCGTTAACATCACCTAGCCACCGTGGTGATTATTCCACCTGGTCAGTGCAAATTATTGGAAAGGGCGAGGTGGTGGGGTCCAGACGAAGTTGACCGTGGCATGGAATCAACCTCGGGTTTGTTGCGTCCACGGTGCAAGCGCGCTCACCCTTCCACCACAACCCGCCAACTGCCGACGAATGCTTTGCACACTCAAGCGGCGCTCGCCACTCTCTCACATCCTTGCTTGCTGCAACAACGCAAAACACCCCACAAGTTAATTCGAGGGATCGCTAACATACACACGTTGACTGTTTAACCGCGAGAGAGCGGGCGGGCGAGCGCCTCCCGGCTGGCACGGCGCCCGCTGACGATGGCACGTCCCCGTCGCGTCTGACACCCCCCCCCCCCCCCGGGGATGGTCGTAGCGGGTGGCATCTGACGCTTATTTAAAGAGAGAGGGACACTCGGTGGACGCGCAGAGGGGGGAGTACATTTCATCACAGAGCTGTGGGACGACTGAGACCATGGAAGCTTCGAGACTGTTGCTGCTGCTACCGCTGGTGCTGCTCTTCTGCAACAGTGTCACGGATTCGTGTGAGTAACTTCCCCGCCAAGTCGCTCGTTTTGGCTATCGCGCCTTCCGATGCTTTTTTTCCAGGTCGTTGCCACGTTGCGCGTTTCGGCACGGCGTCCGACGTTTTGCTCCAGGTCCTAAATTAGTTTTTTCTGGAAGGTCCTAGCACGAAACATCGGGCACCGTGGCCGAACAACACGTGGTACGACCCAGAAAACCAAAACCGGAGAGCTTACACAGTAGAAATCGTAAAAACCTACAGGTCAATCTTGGCCTCCCCAAAATGTGAACGTGGAACTTACAACATTGGTTGTAGCCCACTGCTAAAGACGAGCGCTGTCCCGTTGCTTGTTTGAGACGAGATGCCCTTTTGGCTTGACCCTCCGGTTCTCATGGGAGAAGGGGATGCTGCCACAGTGTCCTCACGCGAGACTTGTGATCTATAGGATGCGAGTTCGATGCCGTCTCCATGCGCGGCAGTTGAAAGGACGGGGGCGAGTTTCTCAAATGCCCCCTCCCTCATCATCACGCGAACTCCGCTCATTCTCGCAAGCGGCGGCTTTTGTGTTACCGGCATCGCGCGCTTGCAGATGCGCTCCTGCGGCCGTCTGGAATGCTCTTCCTTCCGATATTAGGAAGCCACTGGGGCTATGCACTTTTAAATCATCGATATTGAAACTTCATTTCTTCAGAACTGCTTTTTGTTGTGTTTAGTTTGTCGTCCTTCCCCAATTAGCACGGTTGGCTACGTACGGTAAGAAAGAAGTTCAACGTACATACACACATGCACTGCAGCTACGCTCACAATGAAAGGTTCAACCACCCAAATAATTTTGGCCGTGTCGCGCGGTGGAGCATATTAATGATAACACATTTTGTCAGATGGTTACGTGGCCTAGCCTCACAATCATCAATCACAAATTATAATAATGTGATGTCAGAAATTATTTATATTTAAAAAATATATTTTTATTTAGGGTCAGATCGCGTAAATAAAATGTTGTTATGTAGTGCGACCCTCCTCAACCTAACACAGCCAATGAATAAAGTGGCCATGTGATGAACAAAACGTGGCTGATTTAGTCTTGCTGCAGCTTATGACTGTCGGGCGGAGGAGGGT